ACAGCCGCGCTGGGGTTAGGACTTACGAATTGGGAAGGAGGAGACCACAAACATTCAGTGCATAACAAATCCATAATTCATACATGTGAGTGAGTGAGCACGCGTGTGTGAATAAGTTACTGCATCAGTTGCTCTGTTAATCATCGTCTTGTTTCATCGGTGACCGTTATTTGTTACAAACCCTAAAACTGAAAAAGATACTGGGATTTGCTTCTTTTGTAAGGGAGACATTAATAGAAGGTTAAGGTACTGGTACTTATTTGTTCCTTTTGTAACAGAGAGACATTAATGTATGTAATAGTCTGTACTTCATACTCCTGAGTTTGCTACTGAATTCATTCTGGGTTTTTGGATCTCTACTAAGTTAGATCAAGATAGCCTTGATCACTTAAATGGATCTTTGGAAAAACAGTAGTTCTCGGTTGGGCCAGAATGGATCCAGGGTTCTGAGGTCTAGGTCAGGGCTACATGTGACGTTTTCTTTTGTCCTGATGTAGAAGATACACTTCTTGGGAATGACCAGGAAATCTTAGTGTACCGTGGGGAGTATACCAATTGGGGAATCTGGAAATGAGAAAATTTTCGCCGGTATTATGGGAGTAATTGAGGTTCTTTATGCTCCTTCACTCATATATCTTGATTTCTTTCCTGTTCTTCACTTGACAGAGCAAACCCCAGACGTTGGCTGTCAAACGGAAGGCAGAATCTGAGGAGGAGAGAGACGATGTCTCCACATTGGGTTCAATGCTTCCTGCCAAGGCATCTCCAGCAGCAGAGAGCCCAAAGGCCCTGGAGGAGAAGAGCAGTCTTGGAGGTGAGTAACTGACTTGTGCAGTGCAGAGATTAGAGAAATGTTCGGAGCGGGCCGAAAGATAAATCTGGTTCAGGAGAATACGGGAATGCGGGCCTGAACTTGGATGAATGAGTGGATCCTAAAATAGGGACACCAGGGTGAATGCTCAGAGGTGAACGTGTATCATTGTGGGAGATCACAGTGGCTTGGCGAACAGATGGACCAGTTATGTCATCCCCGGTCTGCTCCTTAGTCTGTGTTTGTTTTCCAGAGAAAGCTGAACCAGTGACCGGTGTGAATGCTAATACTCCAAGCAGTGAACTAGTAGCCTTGGCTCCTGCCCCGTCAGCACCCCCTCCTACACTAGCCATGGTGTCCAGACAGATGGGTGACTCAAAACCCCCACAGGCCATCGTGAAGCCCCAGATTCTCACCCACATCATTGAAGGCTTCGTTATCCAGGAAGGAGCAGAGCCTTTCCCGGTGAGGGCAGGGCCATAAGGTGGGACTCTCAAGTGGAGACGTGGTCTGATTACTGTCTTTCCAAAGTCCGCTAAAATCAACGGTCTCAGAACTGTTTCATTACTAGAGAATGGTCCAGTTCTGTTGTGCGCATAGTGAGTTGTGAAGGCAAAGGAGGAAGGGAAGTGGGAAGATTATGTGTAGACCAGAAAAAATGGCAATGTTGGGTGAGGAGAAGAAAAGGAAAAAGCTGTTCATGTTTAGCTCCACAAACTGGGTTGTATGAGAACGAAGAGACGTGTGGTGGAGAAGTTAAGGGACTTTTTCTAGGTTGCCAGCCCTTGCAGAACCAGGACCAGAATGCCGGTGTTCTGCGACTTTGGAAGGCAGAGGACAGCCGAGGTAGAAACCTGTCTCCCAGGGGCTTATGGGAGAAGAGCCAGTTAGGCACTCCTGATTGTCCTCTTGAACAGGATTCTCTGCACCAGGGTTGGGTTAACTCAGAGAACCAGGCAGAGACGGCTGAGGAACGCTGGGGAAAGCTATCGAGAAGCAGAAGGGAGTCGGGCTGACTTCCCTGTAAACTTTGTCTGGCACAGGTGGGTTGTTCTCAGTTACTGAAAGAGTCTGAGAAGCCGCTGCAGACCGGCCTCCCGACGGGGCTGAATGAGAATCAGTCAGGTGGCCCCTTGGGAGGGGACAGCCCATCGGCTGGTGAGTATTAATTTAGAGACCCATCTGGGGAAGGAGGCTCGCGGAGATGTGTTTGACTCAGTGTAAAATAGTACTTATTTAAGGTGGGAATTAGGTGAAGTCCATTCACACACAGCAACTATATTAAATACCAGAATGTGTAGAATCACACGAAAGGAGTTCCAGAGGATTAGGGTAGTTTTTTCCAGCTAACCTCTTGAATTATTTACTGTAAGGATATATTTTTCAAAAGGTCTCAAAGAGGAGACTTCTCCGACTTTGGCTCAGGTCATGAGCTCATGGTTTGTGAGCTCAAGCCCCGTGTGGGGCTCTGTGCCGACGGCTCAGAGCCTGGAGCTGCTTCAGATTCTGTGTCTCCCTCTCTCTCTGCCCCATCCCGGCTTGTACTCTCTCTCTCTCTCTGTCTCTCACTGTCTCTCAGAAATAAATAATAAAAACATTTAAAAAAATAAAATAGGATACTTATTTTTGTAAAAAAAAATTTTACGTTTACTTTTGAGAGACATAGCGTGAGCGTGGAGTGGGGGAAGGGCAGAGAGAGGATCTGAAGCCGGCTGTGCACTGATAGCAGGGAGCCCGATGTGGGGCTCGAACTCCGGAACCGTGAGGTCGTGACCTGAGCTGAAGTTGGACGCTTAACTGACTGAGTCACCCAGGAACCCCTAGTTCACCTTAGTCTAGATTTTATAATGTACATTATGGACTCTGTTTACATTTCCCCCACGGCTTTTGTAAACTGTTGTTGGGAGAGGGATCTTGTATCTTTGTAGTTAGTAATTAGTTCCTCTGCCCTGCTCGCTAATGCAGTCTTATCTGAAATCTGAGAGTATGAATTAGGATAAAGTTCGTCTTCGGGGCACCTGGGTGGCTCAGTTGGTTAAGCGTCCGACTCTTGGTTTAGGCTCAGGTCTTGATCACACGGTTCCTGAGTTCGAGCCCCGAATCGGGCTCTGCGCCGGTGGCGTGGAGCTCGCGTGGGATTCTCCCTCTCCTCTCTCTCTGCTTCTCCCCCACTCTTAAGCGCACTCTCTTTCTCAAAATAAAGAAACGTTAAAAAAAACATTACAAGGAAAAAAAGGCCAAAGCTAGTCATCGAAAACGGAAACAGTCGGCCTGAAGTCCGAAGCCCGGGGACGTTCCTGAGGGACACACCTTTATGGTTTTGGATTCTGAACTTCAGGTTGTAGGGATTCTGACTTAGGTCGCATAGCTCCGTGGGGGCGAACCCTGAGAGTGATTGGTCAACTGTGGGCCGCACGACGGCCTGAGCGGCAGCGGAACCAGTGACCGCTCTCCAACGAGGCCTTGTTTTCCAGAGCTGGATAAGAAGGCGAATCTCCTGAAGTGTGAGTACTGCGGGAAGTATGCTCCCGCAGAGCAGTTTCGCGGCTCCAAGAGGTTCTGCTCCATGACTTGCGCTAAGAGGTACCACGGGCACCCCTTCCTCACCTTCTGCACCCGTTCCTCCGTCTAACAGGGCGCCCCCCCCCTTCCTTCCCTGGGATCATCTCACAGCTGATCGTTCAATGAGTCTCCTTGCCTGTCTGCTGGCCCGTTCGTCCCCGAGTCGGTTCTTAAGACACCGATTCACGTTTAGCGAAAGGTAGCAGGGTAGTCTTTGTAGCACCTTTGACGTCTGGCGCGTGCCCTGACCTGTAGGTATAACGTGAGCTGTAGTCACCAGTTCCGGCTGAAGAGGAAAAAAATGAAAGAGTTCCAAGAAGCCAACTATGCTCGTGTTCGTCGGCGTGGACCCCGCCGTAGCTCCTCCGACATCGCCCGCGCCAAGATCCAGGGCAAGCGCCACCGGGTGAGCTGCCGGTGCAGAGCCGGCTCCCTTTCAAGTGGTCCTTTTCCCTTGGTCCTCCCCTACCGGGCGATTCCTTTGCCCAGGTGAAAGACAGCAGGAGACCAGAACTCATTTTTGTATTGATTGCATCACTTGAAATTCCAAGAGATCCTGACCTCTGGTCTCCTTTCACCTGATGACTGGTTCACGTATCCGTTAATCTCGACATTACATTTGGGAAAACCCAAATTGTTGGAAGACGGGAGAATCGAGGAAGTGATAGCATATACTTGAAAGCGACTTGAGAGTGGGCTAGTGACTGGGCATTTGCAAACCAAGCGCGGGTTTTTCACTCGCGGTGATGCTAGGTTTTCCTCTCTGCCCAATTATTGGCTCAAACCCCAATGGCTGGGGAGGGCAGGGGGACACCTCACGCCCCGTATTCATGATCTCACTGCTTTGGGATTCTCTCCTTAGGGTCAAGAGGACTCTAGCAGGGGTTCGGATAATTCCAGTTACGATGAAGCACTCTCTCCGACATCTCCTGGGCCTTTATCTGTGAGAACTGGGCATGGAGAACGTGACCTGGGGACCCCCAATACGGTACCACCGACGCCAGAATTACATGGCATCAACCCTGTGTTCCTGTCCAGCAATCCGAGCCGCTGGAGCGTAGAAGAGGTGTATGAGTTCATCGCTTCTCTACAAGGTACTGAGGATCTATCCGGCAGAACCCGGATCCCATACAGGTTGAGTTTCCTTAGGTCACCCAGTGTGGGCCTTCGTGACAGGGAACGTGACTGACTCTTAAGCAGTGGGGACTGAAGTACGGTATGATGAAGGCCCTACTCTTGATCGTTGCCCAAGTTGCTTGTCCACAGCCTGGTTTCTTAATTTCCTTCTGGGTTGATTGTCCTCAACTGTGTCAGCAGTCTTGCAGTGTTTGATTTTCACCTTCATGTTTCTTACCGGTAATTTTTGGATAAAGTATATTTTTTGTGTGTGACTGTGATACCTGTCACGGATAGAAGACTTTTTCCCACTAAAGGGACTAGGAAATGAGGGGCCGTTGTTAACTCCACGCTCTTCAAGGCAGGATTGTTTATCAGCTACTCTGGAAAAGGATGGTTTTCTCCAGAAAACAAAATCACTGTACCCGTTTTGCCATTTGTGTGAATTATGGGTCCTTAAGCAAAACTGCCACAAAGGCTCCGAACTTTGTTTTTTGCTATTATGAAAGAAAACAGGTTGATCTCGCTCCTTTCTTTTCCTCCTTGCTCAAGCTATTTGAATGAAGTTATTTCTATGATTGGACAACTTTGTCATTCTTCTTTTATCTCGGCTTTTTTAAATGTTCATTTTTGGGAGAGAAAGAGAAAGAGCGCGTGCAAATGGTGGACAGGCAGCGAGGAGAGAGAGGATCCTAAGCGGTTTCCATGCTGTATATGCAGAGTCAGACGGGGGGCTCGAACTCACGAACTGCGAGATCATGACCTGAGCTGAAATCGCGAGTCTGATGCTCAACCGACAGCCAGCCAGGGGCCCCGAGGCTTTTTGTTTTCATATTTATTTTTTTAATTTTTACTTCAAAAATTTTTAATGTTTATTTATTTTGGAGAGAGACAGAGCATGGGCAGGGGAGGGGCAGAGGGAGAGGGAGACACAGGACCTGAAGCAGGGCTTGAACCCACGGACCGTGAGATCATGACCTGAGCCCAAGTTGGATGCTTAACTGACTGAGCCACCCAGGCGCCCGTTTTCATCTTTAGTTTCTCCCTCGTATCCTCGGGTGCCCCTATGGGGTTTCTCAAGTGTATTCCCCCCATTTCCTTCTAGGCTGCCAAGAGATTGCAGAGGAGTTCCGTTCCCAGGAGATTGATGGACAGGCCCTTTTATTACTTAAAGAGGAACATCTCATGAGTGCCATGAACATCAAGTTGGGCCCTGCCCTCAAGATCTGCGCCAAGATAAACGTCCTTAAGGAGACCTAAGGTGGCCCTCTCGCACACACGAGCCGAAGGCGGACACTCTCCACTGTCCAGGTTATAACCTGGTAGCAGCAGACTTTACAGGGAAGAAAGAGCTGTTCCAATTACGTGAATCTTCTGGAGAGGGGATTACCGAGACAGGGAAGAAAAGTGCAAGAATTGGTTGCTGGTGCTACATGGCGGCAGCTGTGACTTTTTCTCCGGGTTCTACCTTCATTTTTAAAAGTTACGGTTCTCGCTTTTCTCACTTCCCCTGATCCAATCTTTATAAAAAGAGGCAGTCTAGAGAAGTAGGACTGCTCCGCCTTATCCTGGAGTGGAGTACATAGCCAGGGCCTCAGCTCTCCGGGAGGAGGAACAGACCGTGTGGAACCGTTAAGGAAGTGGGTGGAACGCGGGTGCGCCTCCGCAGCGGGAGAGCGAGGTGGGGTTTTTCTAGCTGGCGTGACACGAGCGGCAAAATCCGGCGGCCCCTCTTCCCTCTGGACCGCCTGGCCGTGGCCCGGGGTCTTTGTCGTCGCTCCCTCGGTACTGAACGTTTTCTCCTGCGTTCCTGGCAGGGTCACCAGCCCGCGCAGAGACTCGGTCGGCGTCATTCTGATCCGCTGCAGGGGCTAAAAAGTGTTGGGCACGCGTGTGGCCGTCATTCGTTCCACATCCCCGTGCTCCCTTCAGTCTGTGTGTCTTTTACCCTCCCTTTCTTTTCAGTTCCAACTCTGCTCTGTCCTATAGCTTTACTCAAACAGGAGTGTGTGGGGCTGAGGTCAGGAGTGTAAGTACCTGCCTTAGGCGCTATTCCTTATACAACAAAAATATTAAATATTTTTTTCCTCCTCAGTAAAAGGATAAAAATTGGTCTCAGTTGTCTCTTATTACTCCATTCCAGTGTCTCTACCCTCTTCTTTCATACAAAAGACTAGGGCAAGTTGTTTGTTTGTTTTTTTAATCTTTTAAGTGTTTTTGTACAAAAGAATGTAGTTTCTTTTTTTTTTTTTTTTTTTTTTTTTGCATTTTTAAAACACCAGGTGTGGGGGAGGGATGCAAACAAATAACAAAAAAGATGTTTTTATAACATTTTCCCTGTTTTAGAAAGAAGAAAAAAAATCATTCCAAAAGTATTCAAAAGTCCAAAGATGAAATAATTTCATTTTCTTCCCTAAAGGCTATAAAAGGCCCCTGCCTGTTGACTCCGTCCTCTTGTGTCCAGTGGAGCCATGTTACTCTTCACTGGCCCAAGTTCACTATCACAGAAAGATCGGGCCAGGCTTGTGGGCACATGGCCTAAACAAGAAAGGAAGCATCAGAGGATTCCAAACCTCCCCCCACAGAACTGCTGTGGGCAAGAAGGTCCTTCCCTGAGCCAGAACGGACAAGCGTGGCAGCATTCCACACCCAGAGCACAGGATGGCAGAGCCCTAGCTGTCCCACCTCTGCTTTCATTCCCTTTCCAGAAGATTTTGGGGGGTAGGGTCGGGTGGGGGAAGGTTGACATGCCTGCGAAGAAAGTGCAACATACTTAGAGATATCAGTAGAGGGAAACATCTTAGAAGAAAAGCTCTACCAGCTTTTACTGCAAGTGGGAGAAGAAAGCCACTGAGGACGTCCCACTACAGGTAAACAGACTTCCTTTTCTGGAACCCCTGTAGCACACGGGGTCTGATTCACTTTCCCTTTTCAACAGACTAGACTTCCAGCCACATGGGGACTAATGACCATGAACCCAGAATCCAGGGCCCAGTTCCAGCTAGAAGGTCACCCCAATGCCAACAACTGATGGGATGGTATTTTATAATCCTCTAAGTGGGAAATGAATCATCTTCCCCATCCTAATCCCAGAGGTGGGAGAAGTCTGCAATATCTCCAGGCTCAGACCAAATGGCAATACTTGGATTGCAACCAAAGGATCACTGTAGAGTAGTTCCAAGCAGCAAGAGATCACATCCAGATTCTCATGGAGACCACTGTAGGGTGCAGAGTTAACGGCATGAAAGCAATCAAACCTTGTATAAATAATGTTTCTTGCCTTTTTTTTTTTTTTTTTTTTTTTTTTAATTAAATCCAGTGTCTCAAAAACTTGTGAAAATGTGTTTAAAAAGGTCAGGGAGGCTGCCACGCTTTTTTGCTCACTAGAACTATCCTATTTGTACCTTCTGACACCAAGAGATAGTGTAATAGCCTCTTTTGCACAGGCCCTATCATTTTATCTCTGTCCTGTAACTGTACCTCTCTAGAGGAAAAACAGATCGGGGAAAAAGGAAAGGCATTTCTGCTAGTGAGAAGAGAATGCAAATCAAAAGCAAACTGGAAAGCAAGAGCAATATTAAGGGTGGGATGAGAGACTGGAGTGGACGCTGCTTAAGAAATCTGGCTGAGTATGCTTTGGTTTGGGGGACTGAAGAAGCAGCTGGGCATTTAAAGTGCAATCACATTGGTAATAAATGATCATCCCTTTCTTCTGACTCTTCCCCCAGCTGATCATCCCCCACACCACGATATGCAGCAGGCACATTTCGGGGTTTAGAACGGCACACAAAGTCACAACCATCCTGTAGAGAGAGAAGCAAAGGAAGGAAATGATCATTTGGAATAACCAACTTTAGGGTGAGGCAAAATGTACCCATGGGCTAAGAATGTGGCAAGAACTAGGTTTCTTCAGGGATGATGAGAAAACCTAGATGCTCTAAGCATCAGCCTGAATTGAATTTGGGGCTAACCGGAGAAAAATTCTAATCACATCTCATCTCGCCATCTAGGCCCCTGCAAAGCTTTCTCAGATTCCTAAATCTAAGCAACGGTGTTGTTCTCCCAGCCACGTCTTTGGCAAAGGCCAGGCACTAAGATGCTACGCTACTTACTGCTTTGTGCTAGGGCCAGCAGGTACTTTGTACTGGGTTTGCTGGGGCTTTTGTAGTTTTAGCACCCAAAGTCCTGTGTCTCGAGAGATCCCTCAGTCTGGGTAAACCGAGATGGTTGGTGACTCAATCTTGTATGCAGGCTACAGACTCAGCCAGCAGTCCTGTTACTTACTGCTACCAGGTTGCCAAGATCTTGCCAGAAGGCGAGGTGAGGAAACTGCTCCATTCCCTTGGCTCCCACCACCAGTCGCTGGTATAGGAACCCCCCGATGACGTAGACTGCGACCAGTGATGCAAACCTGTTGAGGAATAAAGACCTCTCTGCTTAAAGACCAAGGAAGAGTAAAGCTTCAATAATAAAGATGATCTTTGTATTCACTAGCTGTTTCCTAGGCTGTATTCTGTAAAAATGGGGAAAAAAAGGGGGGGGGAGGGTTAGCTTCTTTAAAAAGCCAATTAACATTGTCTAAAAGCAAAAGGCTCAGAAAAAACAAGACCCTAGTGTATGACTCTCACCTAAAGCCAAGAATAGTTACAGATCTACAGTTCCATTTCTCCCAAAGTTCTAATAGTCTAATGGGATAGATTTAAGAAGAGTCCGGTCCTCCTGTAGGGGGATAAAAAGCACCTCCCAATGCAAATACTTATTACTCGTTTTGAAAAAAACTTGCATAGTCAGAGTTTAAAGAGGATTTTCATGCAAAGCTCCCGGCCCACCCCCACCCTCCCTACAAACACAATTTGTATCTAAATAGCACCAAGGAATTGAGTTGAGAGGAGAAAAAAAAAGGACTGCTTGGACTGATAGAGGAAAAAGCACTCACGTGACTAGTAAGATAGAACCCACACTGAGGCGGGAGATCTCCGGGGCACAGGCCAGGCTGCTGTCCATCTCGAAGAGGTAGAAACAATCTTGGACTTTGCCTCGCTCCTCAGACACAGGGTTAAAATTGTCCTGATGACGAAAGGCCAGAACGCAACAGTTATGTGGTGAACGGTTTCCTTTGGGCTCTTATTAAAAAAAGAAAAAAACCCACAAGCCAAAAAAAACAGCTGCTTTCTCTTGGTTCAATAACTTATTTTCCACATATGATGGAAGACAAGGTGTCTGTGATGCAGGGCGACACCAGACTTCTGATCCATCCCAGTGTTATCTCGTCCCCTCTGGAGACTCTCCCACCTCGGGTCAGTCCTTGCATGTGCTCTCTAGGCCCGTGTGCCCCAGGACGCCTCACCGCTAGGGTGTGTCGATTGCAGGAGATCATCACCACTGCACGACGCTGCTCCATGCCGCAGTGCCTGTCGTATTCATCACCCCCTTTATAGGTCAGCATGATCCAATTACCTGAGAGAGACAAGGAAAATGGAGCTTTGGGGTGGGGGGGAAAGCAGAGGCGGGCCTAGGTACTATGGTAGAAAGGAACTGAGAAGTTCAATGAAACTGGTTTTAATTCAAATAATCCTAATCAGTATGGGCTCTGTATACCAAATACCAAGCTAAAACTGGCTTCTTTGTAACAGCTTTGTGTTCCCTTAAGACAACTGAGATCCAGATATTCATATGATAATCTTAATTTTCCACAATAAAAGGCAGGCAATTGATAGTGAAAAAACAATTATGAACCACACTGTGACAATGATTCACATTTTCGGAACACCTGCTAACATCGAAAGAAGAGGTTCCATAAAATTAGCAGCTGGCAGGGGAATGCCTACGATTTAAAATTAGCCACAAATAAATTCAAAGTGGATGATTGAAAACAATTTTAATGTTTATTTATTTTTGAGAGAGAGCGTGAGCAGGGGAAGGGCATAGAGAGAGGGAGACACAGACTCTGAAGCAGGCTCCAGGCTCTGAGCTGTCAGCACAGAGCCCGATGTGGGGGTCGCAATTCCTAAATGGCGAGACCATGACCTGAGCAGAAGTTGGACACTTAACCGACTGAGTCACCCAGGCACCCCTCAAAGTGGATGATTTTTAAGGTTGGGAGCCATTTATTCTTTTTTTTTTTCCAATGTTTACTCATTTTTGAGAGAGCGTGCACACCCACAAGCAGGGGAGGGACAGAGAGAAAGGGAGACACAGACACTAAAGCAGGCTCCAGGCTCTGAGTTACCAACCCAGAGCCCGACGCGGGGCTCACACCCACAGACCGTGAGATCATGACCTGAGCTGAAGTCGGATGATTAACCTGCTGAGCCACCCAGGTCCCCCCGTTTTTACTTTTTAAAGCTTATTTACTTATTTTGAGAGAGAAAGAGAGCGCAAGGCACGGAGGGGCAGACAGAGAGAATCCCAAGCAGGGTCGGCACCGTCAGAGCAGACCCCTGTGCCGGGCTCGAATTCATGAACTGTGAGGTCATGACCTAAGCCGAAATCAAGAGTCGGACACTGAACTGACGGAGCCACCTGGACATGCTGCCATTTCTTCTTTAATGTTTACCACATTCAAATTTCTTTTGCAAAATATCCTTTGGTTTACCGGGTGAACAAGGTAAAAGATTCCGCTTCGGATACAAAAAACACAGTAAGATGAAATGATTCTTCCAAGTCACAGGACAAGTAAACATAAGCTGGGTCGGAAACCCAGTCTTCCAACCCCGAGGCCTAAACTCTTGATGTCGTTTTATTATATTACTGATCGGAGCAAATGCCTGCACTGGAAAATACAGTCATCCACTTAAAGGAGGGAATCAGACCACAGGTGCTCAAAGAGTCCTTTCGGCAATAATGATTTTAGGACTTTTGAGAAACATAACCACCACACCACAAGTTGGTGGGGAAGTTTCTGCAGACTGGTTTGCAAAAGAGCTTAACTTAATCTCTTAAAATTTAACTGGCAGAGTTGGACTATCTCAATGCGAAATGGTCACGGTTGGTATTTTCGTGACTAGCACGAAAAACGCATTAAGCTACAGAATCCCAGCTAGATTCTTCTTTTTGCCGAAGCTTTTCATTAACTTTAAAACAAGCACACAGAGGTCCTGAGCCATGGCTCCAGAGGAGCTGGGGAACTAGGTATCCTGTGGTTTACAGTCTCAGGTGAACTGAAGCCCACATGCCGTAGGATGCTCCAAAGACACTGAGAAAGGCTGACATATACAGGACTGTCAGAGGGATTGACTTGGGATCAATCAATCAACAGGGAGACTCTTACTTCCATTGAAGATGTGGGTCTCGTTGAGTCTCCCTACCACTGTCTCCTTGCCGTTACTTTTGTTGATCTGCACCAGGCCTGCCCCAGAGGTACGGTTGCCAGCTTCTCGGCACACCCTGAACATGTAGATATATGTATCTGGGCCCTGGCCCACAGTGCTCTCAAAGCTGCAAGGAGAAGCGTGGAGAAAGAAGGAAGAGGAGAGTTACTGGCTATCAGCCTTAGGACAAGCGGCCTCTCTTCCTTTAACACCGGTCCCCCGAAAGTGTGATCCATTTATTTATTTGATGTCACAACTAAACGTAATAGTGAATAACATTCGTCGCATCACGCGACATCCACGAATCATGAGATATCCACGTAAGAGTGAATCATATTTACTGAACCATGAGACAATCCTAATTGTTGATGATGACTGATTAAGACACGACACTCAAGACGCCTAGATATTCTAGAACACCTGTTCTCGATTATGCTAAAGTGTTAGTTGCTATTTCCCCGCGAATAAGGATCTGTGTTCACAGAAGTATCCCTTGTCCCTCGAAGATCATTTCCAGATTTACATACCTGAAGATTCCTAACAGTTAAGATGATGTGTGTAGGCCTCAATGTTCATCTGATTCTTCTAAAGTCCCACTAAATGGAGGTATCAAATAATGCTTTTTAATTCCTACAAGTTGGTCTCTTGGATCCAGTCTCGGAAATAGCTACCCTTCTGCATAAGAGAACTGCACATTGCTAGTAAAAACTGGGCTGAGAATTTGCTCTGTATCATAAAAAAAAAAAAAAAGGCAAGCTACCATGGCCAAATAAGACCAATACTACTGAAGTTCAAGTTAGAATCGTCTCCCAGAGGAGGTTCTTATACACGTATTCCCTCCGTACAGAGTAGTAATAGGAGAATAACGTAAGTGGAGGAAAAGACTCTTTACCTTTTGTTATACAGTGGTTGCAGCCTCTTCAGTAGAGCCAACTCTGTCTCTGACTCTCTACCCTTGTCTCCCACCAGGTCGCAGGTTTTTTCTTCTGTCTGCCAGGATTCTCTTACTGCCACAGCCAGGAGCAGTGGCAGGAGCAGTCCAGTCCTCCAGCAGCTGCAGAAGGGGAACATCCTTTTGGGAGACGGTGTGTGTGTGTTGAGGAAGCGGGGTAGGATCAGGAAAGAAGGGAGAGAGATAAAACACAGCAACGTGTAATAAGTGAATGTGTTTTTGTTTTTACCATTTTATCTCCCGTCCGTCACTTATTTTACACTAGTCAGTCTTCCTCCTTATCAGGAAGTTGGGGTTCATTTTCTTGTGTCTGTTTCAAGCTTTTGGCTTTCACCCATTATTTTTTTCCCATCCTTTAATGTTCAGAATTGGATTCTTACTCTCTAGGTTTTTTTTCTTTTTAAAACTTATTTTGCGGGGCGCCTGGGTGGCTCAGTCGGTTAAGCGGCCGACTTCGGCTCAGGTCACCATCTCGCGGTCCGTGAGTTCGAGCCCCGCGTCGGGCTCTGTGCTGACAGCTCAGAGCCTGGAGCCTGTTTCAGATTCTGTGTCTCCCTCTCTCTGACCCTCCCCCGTTCATGCTTTGTCTCTCTCTGTCTCAAAAATAAATAAAAACGTTAAAAAAATTAAAAAAAAAATAAATAAAACTTATTTTGCAAGTCTTTTCCTAGCAGACTCTCTTGCCTGACACTGTTGCTCACCTCCTGTCCTGCCTGGGTGCCTTCAGGAAAGGGGCACACTGTGTGTTCAGCAAAGAGGACGGCACTGGCCTTGGTGAAGAGTCAGTGTCTACGGATTGTTGCTGATGATTTCGGCATAGGTGTGCCCTACAACAGGAATGTCTCAATTTCCGAGGCGATTTACCAACTCCTCAGCTCTACGGAGAAAGGCGTATTTTCCATCCTAGAAACTGTCAGAAGGACCAACCAATGGCCTAGGAAATACCTAGCTGACACCAAGGAATGGTAGTGGGATTCTTCAGAATGTCCAAGATTCTCTGGCACATGCAACAAATAGTACATCTTAATATCTTTGTGCCAAGAGCACCTGTAATAGGAAACTCATACAGACATGTAGCTTTCTGTGTCATTCACAGGTGAGTCCTTCACAACAAACTCTGGGGGTGCGAAGAGTTGGAAAGGAAAGAACAAAAAGGAATTACTTAATTATGACAACTTGGGTGGAGACATCCTTGCTTCTTTACCCTTTTGTGAAAAGTTAGATTGCGGTATCTCATATTTAAAGTTTAATAGTTTAATACAGTTCATAAAAGCTGCTTCAGGGGCATCTGGGTGGCTCAGCTGAGCTCAACTCTTGCTATCGGCTCAGGTCATGATCTTGGGGTCATGAGATGGAACCCCTGCATCGGGCTCTGCATTGAATATGGAGCCCGCTTGGGATTTTTGCTCTCTCAAAATAAACAAAAATTAAAAAAAAACAAAAACAAAAAACAAACCTGCTTCAACCTGTGACCCACCCTAAGAGAACACTCAAATTTTCACTTAACACTTGATAAAGTCCAGTTGAAAGTTATTGAGAAAGATGTAAAACAAAGAAAGAGACTCGAACACTTTGGGCCCTAACTTCTCCTATCAGTGGTCAGGAGCATCCACCAGTCTTTGTTCATATTCGCCCTAAGAATGATGAATGGAGATAAACACAGCCACAGCACCTAAACCTTGACATTTATCTACTCTGATGTCTCAGGTCTGAAAAAATATTTGGTCACTCAAACTATAGGAAGAAGAAAATTCACGAGGTCAGAGAGAGAGTGGTTTGAAGAAGTCTTCCAAAACCCACCTCAGGCTCTACATGTCACAAATCCCAAGAGTTTCTAAATGTCCAGGACAGTTGTCTTTGTATCCTCCAAATTGCTGGCAATTCTTGGGAATCACTAAGTCACTTTCCAATTCACCTGTTCCTTGTACTGTTCTAGGAATGGAAACACTTGGCTCCGTTTCCCAGACGCCTTTTCTCTAATCCATCCCCACACCCAAGGGCATTCTGATTTACCCTTGCAGAAGACTTCACTCTGGTATCCATTCTTAGCTGATGAATCGTTCAGGCCACTGCTACTTGTTAATTTCATAACTCTCACTGTTATGGTACAAAGATTGAATTCTTCCAAACTTTCCTCACGCATGCTTCCATACCACAAGTCTGAACTTTGGTTAATACGCTAGGCAGGATTTAATGGGTACTAAGAAGTTTAAAAACAGGAAAATGGAAGCTCTGAGCCCTGAATTTTCTCCACTCCCCTAAACCAACTTACATCTGGCCTTCTGTTCTCCACGTTCCACTAGGGCAACAAATGCTGGGGAAGGTGTCTTGTCTCTCTGACTCTGTACTATTTCCAACATCAATTCACTGTAGTAATATTAATAAAATGTTTCCATAGAATAATTATCACCAGCCATAAAGTCTGAGGCCCCATACACATTTAAAACACCAATAGGAAACTTAATAGAGTGCTTGCCTTCTACTGTTAAAGGCACTTATCATGCATTAACTAATTAATCCTTACAAAAACTCTACGCAGTGAATACAACTGTTGTCTTTATTTTACAGATGAAAAAGCTGAGGCACAGCTAGTGGATGGACCAGAAAAGTCTGACTCCAGAGCTCACGGTCTACACTGGACCACATGTTCATGTTACCTCCTTTCACATTAGTTTTCTGGGGATCAGAGTCGGCAGTCAAAGCTCTGCTTTCTTTCTGACAAAGCAGGGGGAAGTGACTCCTCACACAGTTCAGAGGCTGGAATAAAGAACTCAAACCTCAGACTCCCGCCTTCCCTAAATTCATTGCTCAGCACACTACGTGACCAGCTGAGTTCTTAAAAAAAAAAAAAAAAAACCTATTAATAAGAGACTCTTTTCATGGGACTGATTGAACATGCCATTTTCCTTATATGGTCTCAGGATCTAACTTAAAATTTCAACATTCTGGACTTTCAAGATTTTTTTTTCTTCCCCCCAGGACCAGTTTTCTGGAGGGATGCTCACACAGAAGGCGGTGTCCTTTGGCCTCAGAATCAGTTCCTTATTTGTTAACAGTTAATGATTTCTTTTCCCAAATTAGAACAAAGAATAGGATGAAGGGTTAAACACCCTGAGGTCTGCAATAGTTGAGTTGAACTCTCTTTCATTTGCTTATTGGTTTAAGAAGTTAGGATGCCAAACTTACATTATTTCTTTTCTGTGTAAGGTTTATCTGTGTGTTTGAACTGCTTCTTTTGATTCAGTGGCAAATGCTCTAAGTGTTTTTAATCTAGATTATGTTTTGGCAATCTTCACAACCCAGAAGAGCAGGTATGATTTCTCTCGTTTTACAGATGAGGAAACTGATGCTTACAGAGGTTAAATGATTTGCCCTAAGCTGTACAAGTATTAAACATGTATGAAATTAGTGGGACAACCTGGAGGATTCATGGCACAAAGCTACTTGCTGGCAATTTTCTGGAAAGTACAGAGGGGCAAAAATTTGTTAGGAAGAGTTTAAAATCCAAGGGCTGCGTAGTTCCCTTTGAATGTGCTACAATTAGATTCTTGAGGCACCATAGTTTGTCTAGATACTTTGGAAATAAAGAGTAGGACTTTTAAGATTTTGAAAAATCCCCCTTCAATTGTCCTGTTCTGGGACAGATCTATTTCGGTAATGCAAAAAAAAAAAAAAAAAAATCTCTTTAATGGGATGACCAATGACGGAGGCAGGAATTGGGAAGCAGTTCACATCGCTGGGGCTCTGTCCCACTCTTTCCCACCCCTCAAGACTAGCCACGAGCATTTTCCATTTTTCAGTGGAATTTCTACTTTCTGCTCTCTGGCTCACTCCCGAGGTAGCAGCCCTTATCGCCTGTCTCCAGCAGCCTACACCGTTGGAAGAGCGAACCTAATTAGCTAAAAGGCCCAACGCTGCAAAGCCTTAGAGAAGTAGCTCTGTGTCCCAAGAGCGGAAGCTCCCTACAAAGCGAAACCCTAGATAAGCCCTCCATGAGCTTCTCCGTATCACACACGCATCCCCTTCAAACTTCTTCCAGGGTTCTAGAAATTCTCGTTCCGTCTTCGTCTCCTGACTTTCCAACCGCTTAGGGCCGTATCCTCTCCAAATGATGCCACTTTGGCTTCCTTCTCGATGCAGGCCAAAAATTCCTTCTACAGGTAGCCAGTAATCCCTCAAACGACTCCATACCTAGGGTCCTTCCTTTCTCTGCTTTCCAATACCCGTCAATTCCCTCTCGGGTCTGGGTAGGTCTTTTCTCCCTCGCTCCCTTCGGGACTCGTAACTCCCTGCCCTCACGCCTGCGCCTGCGCCTCCACGCTGCCCTAGGGCTCTTTAGCTGCATTTTGGGCTAGAACCTTGGCCAAAGCTGACTTCGGGATCCCAGCCCCTGTCACGGACGCCGAGGTGTGAGCGCTCTCCAGCTCCTCTCTTCCTCCACGCCCCTCATACTCACGTGTCACGGGCAAAGGGAGTAGCCAAGGCGCAGAATCCCCGGCTGAATACCTGCCTGGGGCTGGGAGACAGGGCCAGCGAGGGGCCAGCCGCAGGCCCCCGACCCACAACTCGTGTCAAAGGCCAGCGTTCCCCAAGACGCCTCGCTGTGCACCACTCCGGGAACCGGAAACAGGAAGCACCAGGCGTCCTCTGGGCAACTGCTCCTCCCACTAGACCCCGCGGCATGTGACCACAGAACCATTTCGCCCCTTTCCCCTTCCCGGTCTCCCGGCGGATCCCAGACTCTGATTGGCCAGGATCCGGGCATTTAGCTCCGCCCTTGTCTTGTCAACTCCAATCCCCATAGAGATTTTCAAGTTGGGTTCCACCTTTTCGGGTCGCCTTTCTACCAATGGGGCCCCAGAATCCCGCCTCCCGGCCTCTCGGCTCGCGGAGTCACGCGCGGTCACGCGGGGTCACGCGCGGTCACGCGCCAGGGCCCGCTCCCCGGTAGGTCCCCAAGCGGACCGTACGTAAGAGCGGGCGGCGGAAGCGGAAATATGGGGAGGGTGCTGTCGGCCAGGCCTCAGTGGGAGCTGTAGTTCTCACCGCAGGTTTCTTCCTCTCGGCGCTTCCCCAGCTCGCTTGCCGCCTGCGGGAGGCGCTGTTTTGCCGTCTGCCGGCCCCGAGTCGCGTTGTCTCCAAGCCCGGCGCCTAGAAGACAGTGGACAGCGACTGGGTCGTGGTAGTCCTGGCATTCTTCACGACACCTTTGTTCTTTATTTCCTTTCTACAGCTTAGTACCTTGGGGTCTGTTGTTACCGATACTGTTTTTGTTAACCGTGTCATCCCGGTGTCGTGGCGTTTTGCGTGGAACACTGCAACCAGTTCAGTTCGCCAGAGATCTCTTGGCATTTTGCGGTCTCGTGGCCCTTTGCGTGATGAGCATTCTGTAACCAGTTCTGTTCTCCAGCCTGTCCCGCGTTTCTGGTGTCCTGGGGAAAGAGCAGGTCAATGTTAGTCTTTGTGCCTTTGCCAAGATCCTCTGTGGTTTCCCTCGTGTCTGTCTTACTCGTCGCTCGGGGAGGTCCTGCGCGTTCCTAGAACGTGGTTCAAATGCTGTTTGCTCCGGTGGTGTCCCGGCTCGACTCTCTTCGGAATAAATAACTCCTTCTAAATGCACACTTGTTGCCCATCCCCGGTTTTAGCGCGTTTTCATGCCGCTGTGACGCCTACGTGGCTTTTGTGTGTGTCCCTCCCCCTCCCATCTTTGCGGATAGAGACTGGATTTTGATTCGTCATTCTCCTCGCCAGAGTTAGCACAATGTTTTGAATCCAACAGTAATAGAAGCTAATACGTGTATAGTTCTGCAGTGCCGGCACTGTTGTCCGTGCTTGAAGTGGATACTGATTCGCTTAGTCTTCACAAGTAACCTTGAATTTTAAAGCTTCTAGAGGCTAAATAACCTGCTCTGGGTCCCGCAGCTATTTAAGTTA